AAATTGATGAAGACACAAATAATAGAAACATATTCTGTGCTCACAGATTGGAAGTACAAATATCATTAAATTGCCATTACTACCCAAAGCAATATGCAGATTCAATGCAATCCCTATCAAAATTCCAGTGGCACTTCTCACAAGAACAGACCACACAATCCTAAAATTTGTATGGAACTGCAGAAGACCCTGACTTGCCAAAGCAATCCTGAGTAAAAAAGCAGAGCTGGTGGCATCACACTTTCTGATTCAAACCACATTACAAACTATAAAAATCAACACACTATGGCATTGGCATAAATACAGACACATAGGTCAATGGAACAGAATAGAGAGCCCAGAAATAGACTCACACATAGATGACCAGTTCATTTATGAAGAGCCAAGAATATACAATGGGGAAAGGACAGTCTCTTCAATAAGTGGTGCTGGGGAAACGAGACAGCCACATGCCAAAGAAGGAAACTGGACCACTGTGTTACACCATATGCAAAAATAAACTCAAAATGGACAAAAGTCTTGAACCTAAGATTTAACACCAGAAAACTAGCAGGAAACATAGCTAGTAATCTCTTTGACACAGGTCTAGAAGAGGATTTGGTGGATCTGACACCAAAAGCAAAGGCAATAAAAGCAAATAAAGACAAATGGGACTACATCAAAGAAAAAGCCTTCTGCACAGCAAAGGAAACAATGAGCAAAATTCAAAGGCATCCTATCATCTGGGAGAAAATATCTGCAAATCATGTATCTTATGAGGGGTTAATATCCAAAACATATCAAGAACATATCCTAGAACTCAATAGCATAAAAACAAGTTATCTAATTTTAAAGCGAGCAGAGGATCTGAATAGATATTTTTCCAAGGAAGACATCCAGATGGCTAACAGATCCTTGAGAAGTTGCTCAACATCGCTCACCATCAGGGAAATGCACATCAAAACCACAATGAGATACCTCATACCTGTTAGAATGGCACCTTACAAAAAGACATGAAATAGCAAGTGTTGGTGAGGGTGTAGATCAAAGGGAATCCTCGTGCATTGTTGGTGGGAATGTAAATTGGTGCACTGTGGAGAATAGTATGGAAGTTTCTAAAAACAAAAAATAAAAATATAGCTACTGTATGATCCAGGAACTCCAGTTCTGGGTACTTACCCAAGAAAGCAAAAACATTAATTTGAAAAGATACCTGCAATCCGCCTTTAGCTCGGGGCATGTTTGTTGCAGCATTATTTATAGCAGCCAAGACATGGAAGTAACCTGTGTCCATCAATGAATGTACAGATAAAGAAAAGGTATGGACACAAGAGAATGTTATTCGGCCATAAAAAAAGAAGGAAATCTTGCCAGTTGCAACAACATGGATGAACCTTGAGTACATTATGGTAAGTGAATACGTCATACATAGACAAAACCATAAGATTTCACTTATAGGTGGAATCTAAACAAAATAAAACCAACCCCCCCCCCAAAAAAAAGGCAGAAACAAACAAAAACAACCCAAAGCTCATATATATTGAGAAGAGAGTGGAGGTTGCCAGAAGCGGGGAATGTTGAAATGGATGAATGGGACCAAAGGTACAAGTTGGTTGGCTTTCCAGTTGTAAAATAAATTATGAGGATGTAATGTACAGGATGGTGACTATAGTTCATACTACATGTATTATATACAAAGTTGAAATAAAGTTGCCAGGAGAGTAGATCTTAAAAGTTCTCAACATAAGGAAAAAAATCTGTAACTATGTATGGTGACAGATTTTAAGTAGACATTTTGGTTTTTTTGTTTGTTTTGTTTTGTTTTAATTTTTATTTATTTATGGTAGTCACACACAGAGAGAGAGAGGGGCAGAGACATAGGCAGAGGGAGAAGCAGGCTCCATGCACCGGGAGCCCGACGTGGGATTCGATCCAGGGTCTCCAGGATCGCACCCTGGGCCAAAGGCAGGTGCCAAACCGCTGCGCCACCCAGGGATCCCTTAAGTAGACATTTTGATGATCATTTTGTACTATATACAAATATGAAGTCATTATACCTGAAACGAATGTCATGGTCAATTATACCTCAATATAAAATTATTTCATCCCACTTTCTCCATCGGTATATAACATATCTAAGTGTTTTTAGTTATGAATACATTTAAGTAAATCAAAGAAATATTTTCAAAAATGAAAAAAGGTATCATTTAAAAGCTATAGGTTGCTGGGACTCCTGGGTGGTTCAGTGGTTGAGTGTCTGCCTTTAGCTCAGGGCATGATTCCGGGGTTCGGGGATTGAGTCCCACATCGGGCTCCCCACAGGAAGTCTGCTTCTCCCTCTGCCTGTGTCTCTGCCTCTCATGAGTAAGTGAATAAAGTCTTTAAAAAAAAAAAAAGCTATAGATTGCTAAATGACAATTCCATCCATTACAATGTGTTTTGTTTTTTGTTTTGTTTTGTTTTGCTTTTTAACAATGCTTTCTGAGCATTTAGAAAATAATGTACTTAGGGATGCTCTAAAATGAGCACTGATCTAGCCTAAAAACCTCCCCTAAGTCCCTTAATCATTCATCAAAAATTATGGAGTATATACTCTATGCAAAACTCTTCAAGGCTGTGAGGTTACAGAAAGCAGCAGAAAAATGTCCTTGTGGAACACAGAGTCCGATAGTGGAGACAGGTATCAATTAAACGAATCAGGGAGATCCCTGGGTGGCTCAGCTGTTTAGCGCCTGCCTTTGGCCCAGGGTATGATCCTGGAGTCCCAGGATCGAGTTCACGTCGGGCTCCCTGCATGGAGCCTGCTTCTCCCTCTGCCTGTGTCTCTGCCTCTCTCTCTCTATCATGAATAAATAAATAAATAAAATCTTTAAAAGAAAAAAAATTAAACGAATCACACACATAAGTGTGAAATTACATTGTGGTAAGACCATAATCTGGTGCTACTAAAAAATTAAAAATAAAAAGAGGTCCATAGAAAAATCCAAAGGTGTATGCTACTCCAGCATAAAATAACTAAGATCATTTCACTATAAAACCTCTTCATGATTTTCAGAAGCACAAAACTATATCCTAGGCAGCGACAAAAGCTGGCAACACTCCAGGTATTTAGGGCATCCTCATGTGAAGAAGCTAATAGATATACTTTAACCCTGTCCATTCTCCTTGACTCTTCAAGAGAGACTTTAGGACAAAATGTTAGCCTTGAATAATAGGAAATCATTTAAACTAAAAATCTTTCCTTCGTAATTCTCTAACAAGGTTCTCAAATAAGTTGTGTCATTTTTATTACACGTATGAACTTCCTAAATCCCTTGATGATATTATTGATACTACCATAGTATTCTTTTAACACGTTTGCCAATATTTTATCAAACGCAGTTCTCTCCAGACAACATTCTGTTCTCCTAAAATAAAGCAGAGTTGCTAGTTTCTGATATGCTCAGATATTACAAGTATTTTATTTTTTTCCTCAGTATTGAGAAATAATAATACTTTTATTATTTCTCCCAACTTGTAAGAATAAAGCTCTGAAAATGAAAGTGAAAATCCCGTCAAATACTCTTCAATTCCTGCCCATAACTTACTGTTTGTTTATTCTTGAGCAAGACAGCTAAGTCCCTAATCCTAAAACAAACAAAATCCCATTTCTCGGCTCCCCCACCCTGCCCCCATTAGACAGGACATAGTGAGCCTAGAGCTTCTGTGAGAAGCAGAGCAGCAGGTGTGAGCTGTCCATGCCTCTAGTCACCGTGGCTCACACCCACAGTACACCGCCTCCTGCTGGACACAGCTGTCACCCCACAGAGGGCTCTCCCCTGGGGAGGGAGGATGTGGACATCCTCTGTGTACTCCCCCTGGGTAGGTGTGCTCCTCCCTCCTCTCTGTTGAGTCCGGGCCTAGAGATGGACACAGTGGGGTGGAGGCAGGGAGCTGTGCATTTACCACACGGACTCACCACCATCTGGGTCCCCCTGCTAGACTCCGAGCTAGACGAGGACAGATCCTGGGGGTCGCTCATTCGGTGGACATTATGTGCCTGCTGAGTCAGGGATGTTCTAGATACTGCAGAGCCAGTTAAACCAGACATGGTGCCTGCTATCAAGGTAAGACCACAGGTGGGTGTGACCTGGGGGCCTTCCCTCCAGGGTCTCCTTGTTGCACTTTCTCACCTCAATCATCTCTTCACTCACTTCTCTGCCGGCCTGTGGCGACAGGACAGCAGTGCCCAAAGGGGGCTGAGGCCGGGGCCCCCGGCTCCCCTCCCGCTGCAGGCGCCTGCCTTTAAGTGGCCCCATCTGACCAGGCTGGTTTCGGTTGGGTTCTTGGCACAACCAAGAGTCCTGATGACTGACTGCACCAGTCTTACTGTTGGGGGAAAAAAAAGGAAAATCATTGGCATTTAAAATTCTGATAAAAAAAAAAAGTGAGTGTTCCCTTAGCTCTGGTTTGTCTTAAGAGCACCCCCTGGGGGGCGCATAGGGCCCCCGCGCTGAGCTCGCCCTGCCCAGCGCTCCAGGGGCCTGAGTGGCCTGCGTGTCCCCTCCGGGCTGTGAGCCGCCCTCGCTCCGGGGCCCAGGTAGTGGCCACGCTCCAGGAGCCAATGGGGCATCCTCCCCCACCTGGACACAGGCCCAGCGCCGGGGCCTGAGGGCCGCACTCACCCTCTCCACAGCTCAGCACCTTCATTTATAAAATGCGGGATTGTGGGCAGCTGGGGGGGGTGCTCAGCGGTTAGCGCCCCTTGGGCCCAGGGCGTGACCCCGGAGACCCCGGGGTCGGGATCGAGCCCCTCGGGCTCCCTGCGTGGAGGCTGCTTCTCCCTCCGCCTGTGTATCTGCCTCTCTGTCTCTCTCATGAATAAATAAATACAATCTTTAAAATAAAATGAGGGATTGAGGGGGAAAGACCCCCAAGGTCCCCCAAGCTGCTTTACCTGATCTGGAGGCATCAGGAGTTATTATTTTATTTTGATTAATTAATTAATCAATTATTATTTTTTTAAAAATTGTTTTTTTAAGCAAGCAGGGCCGAGTCGCTTCCGTGGCCGGGTCAAGGGCGGGCTCGGCTGCAGAAGGGGGCGAGGGCTCCGTGCGCGGGCTTCGGGCCCTTCCCCGACCTCCACCGACCGAGCAGCCGAGGGCGACCCGGCCAGGCCCCGAGGGCCGAGGGCCTCCGCCTGCTCAGAGGCCTGTGCTCCCGCGGACCCTCAAAGCGCGAGGCCCCCGCTCCCCGCCCCCCCAAGCTGAACCGGGAGGCCCTGGCTCCGGCCCGACCCCTGCCCCGGGGCGGTCCTTCCAGAACAGCCGGCGGCCCGCCTACCTCGCGTGGCGCGGGCCTCCGCCGACCCGCCGCCGTCCCTCCGCGGGCGCTGCTCCCTCGGCGCGGGGCCTCCTGCCCCCGGGCCACGCCGCTCACTCCCGAGCCCGGTGCGGGGCCCAGCCCGGCCGCCCCACGCGGGTGCGCTTCGGGAACATTCGCCGGCGGAGCCGGGGCCCGCAGGGGGGAAGCACCCAGGCCCAGGGGGGACCCACGCAGAGGGGGAAGCACCCAGGCCCGGGGGGGACCCACGCAGGGGGGGGAAGCACCCAGGGGGGACCCACGCAGGGGGGAAGCACCCAGGCCTAGGGACCACGCAGAGGGGGGAAGCACCCAGGCCAGGGGGCCACGCGGGGGGGAAGCACCCAGGCCAGGGGGGCACGCGGGGGGGGAAGCACCCAGGCCAGGGGGGCACGCGGGGGGGGGAAGCACCCAGGCCCGGGGACCACGCAGGGGGGGAAGCACCCAGGCCCGGGGGGGGGGGCATACAGGGGGTGGGGGGAACCCAGGCCCGGGGACCACGCAGGGGGGGGGAGCACCCAGGCTCGGGGCCCACGCAGAGGGGGAAGCACCCAGGCCCAGGGGGCCATGCGGGGGGGCAGCTGCCGCCAGGCCCTCGGCTCACCCTCGGCGTGGGGAGCTGGGCCGGGGAAGCCAGACCCCGCGCCCTCCTCCCGCGCCCGCCTCAGGCTCCTAAGGCGTCTGCAGGCCTTTGCACTTTTATCTTAACGACCCGGAGGCGCACAGGTTTACTTTAACACTGTGGGGCGGGTCCCGGGGGCTCAGCGGTTAGCGCCGCCTGCAGCCCGGGGCGTGACCCTGGAGTCCTGGGATCGAGTCCCGCGTCGGGCTCCCTGCGTGGAGCCTCTACCTGTGTCTCTCTCTCATTGATAAACAAATTTTAAAAATCTGTTTAAAAAAAACCAAAACTCTGCGGCAGGTTCCTCTTGGAGAACGCACCCTGGCTTTTCAGCATCTTCCCTCAGATAAACGTCTGCGCGGGGGGGAAGGACACCCCGACCACCGGCCGCCGAGCGCCCGCACCCTCGGGCGGCCCCCCGCCCCGCCCCGCGGCCCTGCGAGGCCGGCCCGGAGACCCCGCGGCCTCTGACGCCGCGCCGCTTGCCCGGGCTCGCGGCGCCACCTGGTGGCCGCGGCGCGCACTGCGGCCGGGGCTCCCCCTGCACGCGGGCGGCGGCCGCGCGGGAGTCCCGGGCCGGGGTCTGTGCGGGCGCCGCGGGGACGGCCCAGCCCGGGGCCGGGCTCCTGCCGCAGCGCTTCCCGGCGGTGCGAACGGGCTTCCGAGCTGCCGCGTGGAGCTAGCGGTTCCCTGGCCGGGATGCCCGGGGCTCGACGAGAAGGCTCCCAACATGGCGCCTGGCACCTGCTTCGGCGTCAGCTCTCTCTGACTTGTGGATTCCTTCTTCTCACAAAAGTCCATTTGTTAAGGAAGCTACTTTCGCCTTATCCGAAGCAACTGGTTTGTTTTTTTTTTTCTTTCAATACATGTTAAATATATCAGTATTAAGATGAGAAAACCCAGTTTTCCCCCACGGGTCACACTTTGCAACCGGGGCCGAGCTGAGGGTCTAGTCCGCGCCCCGCGCCCCGCGCGCCGTCCGTCCGTCCGTCCGTCCGTCCGGGTGCGAGTGCCGTGGGCGCCGCTCTCCTCTCCTGGGGAGCGACGCCTCGGAGCCGAGGACCCCGTGCACTGCGGGTGCCCCCCCCCCGGGGTTATGTGTGTAAACACTAGCTGCCTGGTAGAGATCTGAAGTTGGAAAAATGAATTTCATCGCCCACGAGCTTACATGCCCTTATTTCTGGTCATCCCAGGAAAATAAAAAGAAAAAACAGAAACGTGGCAGAGGCCAAGGTGGGTGAATGCCTTGTTCACGGCATGAGCTCTTGAGGCCCTGGACTCCGGCCACAGGAGCCTGTCGGAGCCCCCCACAAGCCAGAGCATGCTCTCCCACTTAGGCTCCCCCTGCCCCAAAGCACACGGGTTGTTCAGCTGCTGATCCCCAACGAAACAATGTTAGAGGCCTTATGCCCCCTGTCTGTGACGCTATCATTATTTTCAGAGATCTAAGTGCCAAAACAATGCGGACTCTTGGAGTCTCTGCTCAGCACAGCTGTCTGAACATTTAGAACATAGGAACATTTCTGGCCAAACCGATTTACAGATACAATATTGTAAATCAGTCACAGTGCAAGTGTCGCTGATAATTGTAACCTAGGGCCACAGTGACAGAGGTTTTAGTAGAGTCCTTTTAAATGCTGCTGGAGATTGCCAACCCCCCACCCTCCAGGCTACACAGCCCTGGTTCCTTAGTCTCCCATTTCTCCCTTACATGGAAATGATCCCATTGTTTTTGTTGATTAAAAAGCAATTCAAATGTGTTTTTAAAGATTCTGGCAATTCATGTGTGTAAGAGAACTGAGAAGTTCCCAAAACCCCACCGCCAGACACCCTAATTCAAATGCCTCAGAGATGCTTCCCCACAACCTCAGGCAAACCTACTTGTTTCAGTCTCAAGCCAGGCCAGCATCGTTGGAGCTGGGCGAATGTGAGCCACTTTCCTTGCACCAGGATTCGAGGCCGTAGAATTTTTTTTTTCTTTTACAGGAGAAGAGATGGCAGGGAGGAAGGAGCTGAGAGAGAAAATCCCAAGCAGATTCCACACCCAGTGCAAGCCTGACTCGGTACTTGATCTCACAAACCTGAGATCATTACTTGAGCCAAAATCAAGAGTTGGAGACTCAACCAACTAAGCCACCCCAGAAGAATCTTGTTTTCTGATCCTGAATCCTCTGGGCTCTGGATCATCTAACCTTTGAAGTCTCCAGTTTTTACCCCATCCCTTCCAAAATAATACTTGAGACACTGCAAATTCAAATGCCTGTGGGCCAGGTAGGTGGTAGAAACCAGTAAGCCAGGTGGAGACTAGAGCAAACTGAAGGATTTAGGCTCATGGGGGCCCTTGTTCTCCTTGTGGACTGAGGATTTAGTGTTGCCAGATCTTGGGACTTTTTGAGAAACCAGAAATCTGAACTTATATGAAATTTTATTTGTAATGTTGGCAATCAATTCACATTTTACTATATACAGGCCAGTTCAAAGGAACCACGTCTGGGAGGGAAGCCTGTTTGCTACCTCTTGTTCACCAGATTGTCCTGGAAAGGGGCTTTGCAGGGCTGGCTCAGCAACTTGTTTCCTTTTTTTTTTAAAGAAAAGCAAAAGTTCATCTATTTATCTTTTTAAGTAATCTCTACACCCAATGTGGGATTCAATCTCACCACCCCAAGATCAAGAGTTGCACACTCTACTGAGCCAGCCAAGCACCCCTTTTCTTCCTTGTTCATCCCACCAGCAGTGAGCACGTACTGTTATTTTTTTTTAAGAATTTATTTATTCATGAGAGACAGAGGAGAGATGGGGGGGGAGGGAGAGGGAGAGGGAGAGGGAGGTAGAGACAGAGACACAGGCAGAGGGAGAAGCAGGCTCCATGCAGGGAGCCTGATGTGGCACTCGATCCTGGGTCTCCAGGATCACACCCCAGGCCAAAGGCGGCGCTAACCTGCTGAGCCAACCGGGCTGCCCGCACATACTGTTAGTATCCTGAGTCCCAGTGGCCTTCGTGGAACAGGGGAAATCTATTGCCAGGAAATACTGTGCAACCTGAACTGATAACACTGAAAGTCCCTGGGGCCCACCTCCACCAGTGGATGGTTTCCTCATGCTTTGTTTGAACTGGCCAAGTGGCCAGAGGGCACCCATATTCACCTGACGCCCTGGAGAGGTGGCTTTTTCTGCACACAGCCCTCAGCTGCTCTGTAACAGATGCAAGCTCTGTCCCTGGCCTCCCAGAGCTGGGGGACCCCACTGCCACTGGCTGCCTCTGGGAGCAGGGCATTCTCTTCCCCTCTTCCCCCCAGTGCCCAGGATGCTCCCAGCCTGAGAGCCAGCCCACCTGCTCTTCCACTGGCCTGTGCTTCTCATGGTTGGCATTGATCCCCTGGTCTTCTATTTACTCAAACTGGCTTATATGCAAGGCGCCTATATAGGAATGCGTTGGTTAGCAATGCGGGAAGCTGTTCTCCCTAGATCTAAGGCAAAAAATTATTTTATCAGCAATAAAATAATAAGCAATAAATAGTCTCTTAACATGGGCATTTTGCTAAGTGGTAAAACATCTTAGTAGACAATGACCCTTATGTTGTCTTATTACCTCCACAAGTTCTGGAACAGTCTGGTTCAATCATCCAGGCGGTGTGGGTAGGTGCTGCTACCGGTAGCAAGGGACAGGACAGGTTCAGTGTGGAGGAGAAATGTCAGTGTTTAGTGGTTCCCATGCCCTGGGAAGCTTCTTAAAACTCCCAGGGCCCAGGAATCCATATTCTAATCGAGGTGATTCCAATTGCAGCCCGGGGGTTGAAACACTTACTGGGTGCTCAGATAATTAAAGGGAAGGCTTTCACCTTCAGGCCAAGGCAGAGCCATCCTTGAACATTAGTTGGCGTCTCACAAATAAGGAAAGTCCTTTTCATTTCCTTTCCTTTTTCAATTATCAGGGAGTGAGCTAAACTTTACTCTTCTTGGTAAGTGTGCTTAATAATGGACTAAGGATAAAACAGGAACAAAAACCAAAGGGGGAGGCTGAAGTCATCACCCCCAGCCTTTGCTGTCAAAGGCGCCTCTGGATGGGGGAGCCTGGGTGGTGCAGTCAGCTCAGGTCAAGATCTCAGGGTCCCCGCTGAGCATGGAGCCTGCTTAAGACTCTTTCTTCCTCTGCCTCCCTGGCTCTTTCTCAAATCAATCCTTTAAAAAAAAAAAAAAGTGCCTTCTGGTTGACAGCAGCAAGTCTATTTCTTCCATCCGCCCTGAAGCTCTTCCCTTCCTTTCCTTCATTTCTGAGTTGGTGGCCCCGTGGAGGGACCACTGCAGCCCTGGCTTTCTCACATGCACATCCGAGCTTGTACCCCATGGAGCCCCTTCAGTGACTCCTGTTTTTAAGACAAAGCCCCAACTCCCCAGGCCGGCCCTCAGGAGCCCCGTGCATTCTCCTCGCCATTCCTTAAACACGTCCCTAACCTAGAAGGTCTCTGCCCTCTCCTTTGCCTAAGTAGTTCCTTATGTCAAATGCTGCCTCTCAGAAACCTCCCCAACTCCCAGCACCCTCATCACATGGCCTCTTCTGGCTCCTCCAAACCTCGGTGTGAACAGTGGTGCTGCATGTGGGCCTCGCCGAGGGCTCAGTCCCGCTGTGGGTGCAGGAGGGCTGCTCACTGGGCCTCACTGGTTCCTCTTCTTCCTCCTCAGTAGTGGCTGAGCACAAGGCAGGATAAAGACTTCGGTTCTCTGGCTGGAAGTGGCCATGTAACTCCACACTGGCCCGAAGGATGTAAGCCACTGTACTGTGACAGGACACTTCTCTGAACTGTCCCAAAGGAAAGAGGAAGGTACCTTCTCTGGCTGGAACAAAAATGGCACGGCTGACGCTGCAGCTGCCACCCGGGTCCTTGGCATGACCATGGAAATGGAAAGACCCTGTAGGCCTCTAGATGGGAGCTAAGGTCTCGGACGTTGCAGTGGACCAGCCCCGCCTCTGCCAGACTATCTCCAACCAACTATCTGAACATGGGAGAAATAAACTTTATTTAAGCCACCATTATTTTCTGACTATTTGTGATAATGCAGTTTATTCCAAACCAATGTCCTCCCCCATCACTGCCTTGTGGCTCTCTTGTGTGCACTTAGGAACACAGTGTGACACAGGGGGTTCACAGGGAATTGATGTCATGTGATCCTCCCCTCGTGGGCTGGCCAGAAAGCCCATTTCCATGGTGAGAGCAGTGTTTCTGGAGTGCCCAGAGGACTGACGCACCCCGACCCCCACCCCCACCCTCCCTCCCTTAGCACGGCCACAGTTAAGTGGCCTCCTGGCAGGGACACAACCTTTTACATCCGTGTTTCTGGCACCAGTACAAGATCTACTACCATCTAACACTTAAACAGGTTTTCAGAAGGAAGCAGAGATTATCTAAAATAAGTGTTTTGTACCTCAAGAAGATTCAATGAGCCACCATAGGCCAAGTCTGTGCCCATCCTTCAAATGAACGCCAAGAACCCCTCTCTCTTCAGAGCTTAGGTTTTATATATGCTTATGGATGTTCTTCTGGAAAGACGGTCCAGGACTGTCCTTCTCAAATGAGAAGTGTGACCTCACAAAAGTAATCACTGCATTGGAAGAATTGCTGGGTTGTTTTTGTTTTTTAAATCACTTTTAGGGGATCCCTGGGTGGCCCAGCGGTTTAGCGCCTGCCTTTGGTCCAGTGTGCGATCCTGGAGTCCCGGGATCGAGTTCCGCATGGGGCTCCCAGCATGGAGCCTGCTTCTCCCTCCTCCTGGGTCTCTGCCTCTCTCTCTCTCATGAATAAATAAATCTTAAAAAAAATAAAAATAAATCACTTTTAAAGCTTAAATGTATTTACGTACTTTCCACTAAGGTATCTTTTTTAAAAATATGAGCATCTTTTAGAATGTAATAACAACTGCCCAACCTCCTCCTATCCTGGATACTAAAAAATTTTAACATTTAAATACTTTTCCTACCTGTTATATGCCTGTGAAGATTTTTCCTGTTATAAGCTCTTTTTCAAAAAACAGGATTATTGCGAGAAATATTCTAGAAATATTTACAATGTGAACAAAAGGAGCTATGCTTAGAGCTGGAGCCTTCTTTTACCACTGAGCTTTAAGTACACACCTGGCTCCAGAAGCAGATACACCCTAAATACTGGCTGGTGCTGGGCCTTCTATTAGGGCACTGGGTCGGTGCCACTTAAGTCTAGTTTCTGGCTGAGGAATTGCAGGTGAATCACGGTGCAGCTCCCTTAGGCATTCATGCTACCACCAGGTCAATAACTGATGAACCTCTTTTTTCTTATATAAAAAACAGATATAATATGCATTTAATTTCATTCAATAAATCAATTCCACTTAACTTACCATCTCTTAGAAAACTTAGGAAAAAGCAAACATAAGACATGAAAAATTACATTAAAGATGTGTGACATACTGGAGAGTGACAAGAGCATACATGGTAATTAAGAGTCATCATTTAAATGCACCACAAGAAGAAAAAATAAAATTACTGTAATTTATTGCTGTATCTATATTTTCCAGTAGAGCTATAATATTATAAGTAGCCACAAAGTGCCACCTTCTGGTTTAAAACTGTGCAACATCTCCTTTATTTCTTTTTAAATGCCATTTTTACGGTGGACGTATAAAGCAACAGCAGCAGTTACAAAATGTTATCTGAGTAATTCTGAGAGCTCTAAACAAAGATCTGTGTATAGGCTGAATAAAAAGATGTTCAATTAATAGTGCACATTGTGTAACTTTTAACAAACATCTTTAGTTGGAATTTTCATGTAAACCTTTAGAGGGATGTGACTCACAGAGACCAAAAGTAAAATAGCTTTTCCTTTCACCATTTAGTGAGGTGTTCTGCATTCTCAAAAACGATTTACAAAATACAAGAAATGTTGCGTGTGAGTACTAGGCATAAAATATTTCATTTTCTTACAGAAGGAGCAGCAGAACGACAGGGAGCCTAGTGGATGCCCTGTCACCACCTTTCCCAAAGATGTATACCCCCAAGAATGGCAGTGGAAACCTGGCAGCAAGCCACTCTTACAATTCTTTTTGGTTGTTTTAAAATACAAGCACTCTGACACTTCCCTCCCCTGCCTGTGGGCCCCACCCCGACTCGGCGGGCCCCAAGCCCACGTCCTCTTCCTTAGTTTTCCCCTTAGAATTATGTACAGGATGCCTACAGATACGGTACAAACTAGTGTGAAATTAATGATAGTTTGCATTTCCAGACACGCTCCCGCGGTTGGGGAAGCCCACCATGCCGCTTCCGAAGACCGGTTCGAAGTTAGGGTGACTCGGAGGCACTTGCATCCGTAACTACGGAGACAGGCTTCTCGCTGGTCGGGGTGGATTCGCAGACTCTGTCCTCGACAGTGCCGGGGGCCTTGTGAGTGGGAGGTGTCGCATCCCCAGCAGGTGTGGGTGTGGGTGCGGGTGCAGAGGCAGCATCTGCCCTTGCGGTGGTTGTGACAGGGTCGGAGGGCGGGCTGCCGGTGGGCGGGAGGGAGGGCAGCAGCTCCCCTGAGCTTGCTGCAGAAGACACCTCTGGAACCAAAGGGAATGACGGGAGGAACTCGGATGGCATGGGGAGAGGTGCCATGCCAGACAAGTTTCGGGGAGGCAAGGAAGGAAGAGGTGGCAAACCTAGGACAAAAATGGCAGAGATCACACATCCTCCCAGCACTAAAAAAGCAGTAGTCATCGTCATGTGACCGTTTTAATTTGCATTTCATTAGGGAACTGAAGCTGAGGAGGGACAACACAAATCACAACCTCTGCGTATCCTCAGGCAGAAGCCAGGCCAGAGTTAAACACCCACCGCAAGAGCAGCTGGCCAGGAGGACCGGTTCTGGGCTTCTCCACTCCAGAACCTCCCCGTGGCTCAGCCACTCCAGAGAAATGAGTCTCCCAGTCAGAACAGACAGAAGCACACCCAGCAGGCAAAGCGGCCACCCTCGCATAGGACAGGAGAACCCCGTTCACCCCGGCAGGTGAGGCCGAGGCGGAGCTGCCCTCTGGACAGACAGCAGCAAGGGCGGGGGGCGGCCCAGCACCCCCCAAGTACCCAGCCTCGGGTCAAGCCCTGCGACTGACCAGCAACCATTACACCTGGTGGGTTTACTGTGACCAATAATACACTTCAAGCATTCGAAGTGCAGAACGAAGAAAAAGTATCAGGAAACCAAGGAAAGGTAGGATGTACAATGCATTCAGAGCAACCACGCGGCTGGCAAAACCCTCAATGCTCTTAAGAGTTTGTGAATTTGGGGGAAAGGGCAGAAGAAGCCAAGAATACAGGGCATAAAAGAAAAAACAAAGGCAGTGCTAAGATAAGTAAATGGTAGAGTTTACAGTCTTGCTTTGTTTTTTAAACCACTGTGCTGAAAAGCGAACGGGCTAATGGGGACAGGGAACGCACACATGCAGATGGGGAGCGGCAGGGGCAGTTATGATCCGGACAGAAACAGGACAACGTACGCTCAGCGACATCACTCGCGGGCCTAGCTACGGAAATTAGGAAATGACAGCCCTGACCTGCAGCCACCTCAAAGTTAAAGGTAATGTGGGTACTCATTAACCAGAAGAGCAGATTTATTGGGCCCTCTGCTGCTTCATTTCCACCAGTGCATTAAATCTGAGTGTAAACACTTGAATATTGGCTAGCTTAACTATTTGTAGCTAAACTCTCTCAATAGTTTTGATGATAAAAACATCTGTTAATAACAGAGAAGATTCATCAACAAATGCAGCCAGCTGAACGAGGATGAGAATCTCCCAGCCCAAGGTCCTCGGCCTGGCTGCTCCAAACAAGCACCACCGGCGGCCGCCCAGAACAGGAGAGTCATGGGGAGTCCATGCACGCTCACGGGGTGAGCTGCACACGCCTTCCGTCCGCAGCAGTTACAGCAATGCCCACACCACTGGGCTTTATTTCCGCAATTGTCTTTATGCTACTTGGGCTGTCAGGGTGCAAGGAGAGGAAAATGGAGAAGAGGCGGCCAAGGAGGAGAATCACAAAAATATTTTCTCTTCTTTTTTTAAGCTTTTTAGATAAAAGAGATTAGTATTTATTTGAAGCAGCTGAAATATGTTAAACTGATCTAACCTTTCCAGAAAAAAGTGTAATAGAGGATCTGCTTTCCTGGATAAAAGCTTTTTATTAGACAGAGTCCTAGGAAGGCAGGATGGGCAACATACCCGGGTTCACGAGTTCTGGTAAGCTGACGCCTGGCATGACGTGCGGTGTGGGAAGGTTGAGGTTGGGGAGGGCAGGTAGGTTAGGTAGTCCTGTTGGTAAAGGCATCAGACCTAGAGAGAAGGCAGAGAATAGAAGGTAAACTACTTCCTCTGGGGAAAACATTCAATCCCTGTGTTTTGGAAAGAATACTACCCACTTCAAAGTGAGAACACCAGAAGTCCACTTACTGGGTGGCAGTTTTGTGTCTGACATTAACAAGAGCGAAACATCTCACTTAAGTGAAATGTCTTTCTGTACCTAAGTGATCTAAGTGATTAGATGGCTCAGTAGGCAAGTGTTAAAACACACGAGGACTTGCAGATCTGAGAGCCAGAATGACCACAGCCTGCGTGCCGTAGAGAAAGGGCTGATGGAGCTCAGCAAGTGCGGCGGTAAATGCAACTAAACAGAATTCTCTTTGATGGCTGAGGTTTACAGTCCTCTGGCTTTTTAATATTTTGTTTCCTGAAATAATTTGAGACTTAGAGTTGCGTGAGTAGTTTAAATAAGGAAATCCCACACATACCTTTCATTCAAATTCCCACGTCAACATTTTACCATACTTCTCTGCCACTTCAATGGTTTAGTATGTCTGTGTAATGACATCTTTAGTCATACGATTAAAGGCTCTTACAGTACAAGTATATTTGATCTCTGAAATAATATTTGATTGTTATCTGATGGATAAAGACACTTGGTCTTCACTGGGAACAGTAAGAAATATAAAAATTTAACTTAATGTTAGAGCTTCTGAACAACCTAATATGGAACGCTCTCTTTTGGGACAGGATGCCTATTCCTCTGAAGAACTACTAGAGAGCCCCAACTAAGGAAGTACTGAAGGACGGATCTTTTACACATTCCTCCTTCCTGCCTCATACTGCATTGGAAGGGTAGCTGGCTGAGCATAAGGAGCCTGAGCTCAAAGCTAACAGCTGGTACCTGACAGCTTGTTGCCACTTGCTCTAATTTATCATAAAGTTACAGCAAAGATAAAATGAGATTAAAAGACAAAA